ATTGGCATATAGTTGAGAAAGGGAATGGAGTGTTTTACAGTGACAGCTGTCAAAATGGATCCAAGGTTAAACAGCTTTTAAGAATATGTTTGCCTTCCACATTAGAATCTCGAATGGTTCAATTAATATAACATACATTGTAATATGAATTACTCAAAATTTATACATAATCGATTTGTGAATGACATAATGTTTTCATTGTAAATATGTTTTCTTTTTGATGTTTGAATTATATTATCATTTCATTATATCATGTTTTACCCTGCATAATCTAAATTATCAAATACTTCGATCAATGCCATGTTATGATTTAATTACCCCCGCCACGAGTTCTTTTTTGTCCTTCCGTCCGTCCGCTTCTCAATTGTCTCTAAAATTATTTTAGTAAGAGAAATGAAATTGTACACACTGATGTAAATGGTCACGATCTGAAATGAGTTCGAAAGGTGGGATCAATTTGTTTGGTGATTTGTTTTAACGCCGCACTCAGTGATAAACAAAATAAAAAAATTAACTACAATTTACAGAATTAATAACCCTTCATTCAGTTATGTGAACTCCAACGCCATGAAATCTGTCGTACACAGTGAGACTACATATTCATCATCTCCCGACCCGTGGAGATCCGAGGTAGAATAGGTCTTCTGCAACCCATGCTTGCCGTAAAAGCTGACTATGCTTGTCGTAAGAGGCGACTAACAGGATCGGGCGGTCAGGATCGGGCGGTCAGGCTCGCTGACGTGTTCACTGGATTGTCTGGTCCAGAGTGAGTGAGTTAATATTTAAAGTCACATCGGCACTATTTCAGCCATATCGTGACTTGAACAAGTTAAACATTTATATTATATATAAAAACCTGTCGCCGAAGGACAGTACAACAATTAGCAATATATCACAGATTATAATTTTAAAAACTAATTTTAGAGCAATAAAACGATCAAATTTAATCAGACGACACAGTATAAAAACGGGCTGTAGATCGCCAGCAACCAAAGCTAGGCCACCATACTAGGGACCATGGGGACTTACGGTACTTCTGCTACCTACATGGTCCCCAGCAGGATTTACACCATCCCTCGGGCTACTGGCGATTATCAGAAAGATTAGCCAAACAGTTAAAATCAACAAAAATGCTACGATTAAAATCACAGCAAAATGAAAAGATACTTTGAATGATACCGGACTTACGTACCTTCCCAGGGGGACAATTGTTTTACGATACTTCAACCCCCTGTGAAGATACAGCCACTAACAATCCAAGTCATGAATTCAATTTACCAAATTAAAATCACTTTCTATAGACTATACATATTATAATCAAAATTTATCTATTAATTCTATTTCTTTTAAAAAACCGATGAGTAAATGAGCACTGATACTAAAAAGATCCTTGATGGACGAAACTTTGAAATACTTATCCCTTGTAATGGAAAAATCAATACAGTCAAGCAGGACATGCTTGACTGTGATTCTCTCATCACAAGGGATACAAAACGGAGGATCCTCACCTTTTAATAGATATTCGTGTGTATATCTTGAATGGCCAATACGACATCGTCGTAAAATGACCTCTTCAAATCTGGACTGACACCCCAAGTAGGTGTAACCGAGAGTTGGCTTAATTTGATGTAATTTATTGATACCTACTTGGGTGTCCCACTTCATTTGCATAAGATCTCTGATGTAACATCTGATCACAGGTTTATAATCACTGTAGGGAAGTAGAAGTGGTGTCACAGATTTGTTGAGGGCTGCTTTTGCAGCAGCATCAGCCATTGTGTTGCCTTTTATGCCCACATGACTGGGCAACCAACAAAAGACGATGTTGTATTGGCCAGTTGAAAGATCATTAGAAAGTTCTAAAATGTTTAAAATGATTGGATGACTAGAAGAGACTTTTTTTAGTGCCTGAAGACAAGATAAAGAATCAGAAAAGATTATAAATCGGTTATATACAGATTGTTTTTGAATGTATCCCAAGGCTGTAAGGATAGCATTGGCCTCAGCAGTGAATATAGAGCTATTATCTGGTATTCTGGACGATAAATGTTTTGATCCAATGACGGTGGCAGATGCTACTTGGCCACCATCCTTGGATCCATCAGTAAAGATTGAACGGTGAGTGTCGTATTTATTTCTTAACTGTAAATATGCTTGTTGATATACGAGTGGATTGGTCTCAGATTTTATAAAACGTGTGAGGGAAATGTCTACTTCTGGCCTCACCAACTGCCAGGGAGGAGAAGACAAAAGGCGGTAAGGAGAGATGAGATTTAAATCTATATGGGCAGCAATAACATTTGATTTAATCCGAATTCCAAGTGGGGGAACCAGCTTTGGTTTCCTCAGAAACAGTTCTTCATATTGAGGATGAAAAACGGAGTCATATGCAGGATTAGAAGGGTTAGAGTGTAATTTTGTGATATATTGAAGAGATAATTTAATACGGCGTAGTTTCAAAGAGGGTTCATCAGCCTCGACACAGAGACTGTCAACAGGAGAAGTTCTAAAAGCACCAAGGCACAGTCTAAGTCCTTGATGGTGGATTGAATCTAGCTTTTTTAAATTACTCTTGCAAGCTCCAGCATACACAATGGAGCCATAGTCTAATTTAGAGCGGATTAATGATCTATATAAGTGAAGGAGGGTTGTCTGATCCCCTCCCCACTTAGAATTCGAGACGACTTTCAACAAATCGAGGGCCTTCAGGCATTTAGTCTTTAAATATTTAATATGTGGCAAAAACGTCAAATGGTGGTCGAAAATCAATCCCAGAAATTTGGCCTCTTTTACAACCTTAATTGGAGTACCATCTAAAGAGAGCTCTGGGTCTTTATGGGTTTTATATTTCCGACAGAAATGTATACAATTTGTCTTTGTCTGTGAGAACTTAAATCCATTCTCAAGACACCATTTTTGAATTTTATTAAGACACAACTGTAACTGTCTTTCAATTGTACGCATATTTTTACCACGACATGAAATATTAAAATCATCCACAAACAAAGACCCATCAATTGAGTCATTTAATACTTTAGATAAACTATTAATTTTTATGCTAAACAAGGTAACAGACAAAATACTGCCTTGTGGAACCCCCTGATCCTGATTATAATGATCGGACAGGGTTGATCCAACACGAACTTGAAATTGTCTGTCCGTTAAAAACTGTGATACAAATTGAGGCAAGCGGCCTCTTAAACCAAAGTCATGTAAATCTTTTAAAATACCATGCTTCCAAGTGGTATCATAAGCTTTTTCAAGATCGAAAAAGATAGATACAGCATGTTGTTTGTTTATAAAAGCATTTTTAATAAATGATTCTAAACGAACCAAATGATCAATTGTACTTCGGTTTTTACGAAAACCGCACTGGATATCACTGATTAAATGGTTGGTTTCTAAAAACCAAACCAAGCGATTATTCACCATGCGCTCCATGGTTTTACAAACACAGCTAGTTAATGAAATAGATCGGTAATTGGATGGATCTGTATGATCCCTGCCAGGCTTTGGTATGGGTACAACGATGGCATTTCTCCATGAAGGAGGAAAATGTCCTGTTGTCCAAATATCATCGAAAATATTCAATAGTGTTGTGAGACAAGATTCAGGCAAGTGTTTTAGAAGCTGATAATGGATATCATCAGCACCAGTTGCAGTATCATGAGCTTGTGCTAAAGCAGTGTGTAGCTCATGTAGTGAAAATACTTCGTTATAATCTTCGCCATTGTCAGAAATAAAATTGATTTTTTTCCTTTCTTGCTGTTGTTGATACTTCTGAAACTTAGGATTATAATTTGACGAAGAAGAATGTATGGCTAAAGTTTCGCCCAGTTTGTTTGCAATATCTGACTTGTCTGTCAATAAATTATTGTCATCTTTGAGATGATGAATACTTGATTTGGAACCTTTGCCTTTGATTTTTTGGATCATGTTCCACACCTTTGACATAGGCGTGCGAGAATTTATATTGGAAACATAATCCTTCCATGTCTGTCGTTTATTGAGTTTAAAAGTACGGCGAGCCTTGGCATAATTAATTTTTACATTATTCAAATTATGGACAGTAGGATGGCGTCGAAAATATTTCTCAGCCTTCTTCCTACGCTTCCTAGCTTGCTTGCATTCATAAGTAAACCATGGTTTACGAATATGTGGATTCACAGAGGACTTAGGAATAGTTTCATCAGCGATACCTTTCAGTTGATCGGAAAACAACTGAATCGGGTCAGGAACATCCATAAAAAGTTCGTGTCGCAATTTGTCAGTACATATGTTCTGAAATAACGGCCAATTTGCCTTAGAAAAATTCCATCTTGTTATAGGTGGATCATCAGTGGGGTTTATTGCTGTAAGTACTGTCGGAAAATGATCACTTCCACAAAGGTCATCATGGACTGACCACTCAAAATCATTATATAAGTTAGAATCTGTGATTGACAGATCTAATGCAGTGTACGTACCTGTTGCAGGATGTAAATATGTGTTCGAGCCGTCATTGAAGATGCATAGATTATTGTTAGCAATAAAATCTTCAAGGATTTTCCCTTTATTATTTGTATTGGAACTTCCCCATAGAGGGTTATGCCCATTAAGATCACCCATGATGATACAGGGCTTAGGTAGTTGGTCAAATAAATTCTGAAGGTCAGACTGCTGCAAATTTGAGGATGGAGAAATATATAGGGAACAAAGTGTGAAAGTTATTTGTAGAGTAAGACGGACAGCAACAGCCTGAAGGTTACAATGGAGATGAACAGGACTGTGGATGATGCCCTGCCTCACCAAAATGGAAGCACCGCCAGTGGCTTTATCACCTGGAGGTGAAAAAGAATGATAGGAAGTGTACTGACGCAATTCAAATTTATCAGTATGCTTAAGATAGGTCTCTTGTAAACTAAAAGCTGATGGTTTATAGTCTTGTGCTAATAACTGGACTTCATTAAAATTATTCCTAAGTCCTCTGCAATTCCACTGAATTACGTTAGGAGATTGAGTCATGGTGGCTCAATCGGTGAACGCTCACGTAGACGTGAGGAGGAAGGACTCCTACTACTGCTCTGTGACGATGGGGTGACATCCATGTCCAGAGCATCAAAGGAGTTATGGATAACTATCTCTGAAGAAGAGGAGTTCCTGTTTGTCTGTTTTTTATTTAGTTTTTTTCTTTCTTTTCTCGTCAAGGTAACAACACCTGATTCAATAGTTGAAGGCTCTACTGTGGCCTCTGGCTTTTCAGTTGTAGGCACAACATTATCAGAGTAAGCAATCAAGAGTTCAGATTGACTCACAGTTTGAGTCGAGGATGTGTTTGAAGTGATCACAGAAGTAATGCTGATAGGAGAATCTGATGTGACCCATGTCATTTCTGTTTGAATAGAAATGGATACTGTTGGAGGAGTTGGAGGGGTAGAGATAGCAGCAGCAGAGTAGGTTCTGGTAAGTGGAGTTGACGGGGCCTGACTGTCAATAACCTTCTTTGCCTCGAAAAATGATATATTTTGTTCATGTTTTAGCCTGATGATTTTTGATTGTTTTTGCCACACTGGACATAATTTCGAGGAAGCCAGATGTTTGCCATTACAGTTGGAACATTTAATGTCAGCTGTACATCCAGTGCTGTCATGGCCGTCACCACAGCGCTGGCAGACGACAGAGTGATTACAGGATTTAGACCCATGTCCAAACTTTTGGCACTTGAAACATCGGGGTGGATTGGGGACATACACCTCCACTCCGATGTTGAGATAACCAGCTTTAACAGATTTAGGAAGGGTCGACAGTGCAAAAGTAAGCATATACGTATTTGACGGGATGATGTCACCGTCTCTGGATTTCATTGTGAAACGCTTCACTGCACTTACTCCCTGACTAGTCAATTCATCTGTAATTTCTTGCTCCGACATGTCGGACAGGCAACGAGCTCTGTCACGAACAATGCCTCGGCAAGAATTTAAGGTTTTGTGTACGGACACAGCAACCTCAATATTAGCAAAAGTAGATAAAGATAGCAAATTGAGAGATTGCTGTCTCCGTGAACATTCAACGAGAAGAGAGCCACTACGAAGACGTGTCACATTTTTTACCTCTCCGCAAATTCCTGAAACTGCTTTTGAAATGGCGAAAGGATTAAGCTTTAATGGATGCTTATCAGCTGCCTCGATCACAATAAATCGGGCCCAGGAATCCAATTCACGAGATAGTTTTTCAGTTTGATCAGACTCATCTAGATCCACATGTCTACGTTTTGATCGGTTTGAACCAGGGTTTTGGTGAGACATGATGAAATATAGTAATTCAGCACCCCTGCTCCCCACCCACCACGGAGTGTTACAAAGAACGGTGTTATGGTGCACCGGATATCCAAGATGCAAACACCAGGGATACAGAGATGTTATACTCCAGCAAATATGACACAAAGAGCAATATTTGTATACCAAATTAAATGCCAGGCTGGTTCGGCCCATGACAAGAAATTGGATACATACTGAATTTGGAGGTCAACATCACCAGATTGGCCCATGAGCCACCGCCTGCTGGCATAAGACTCTAGGCAAATTGGTACATAAATAGTTTGAAAATTCAAGCATGATATACACGTCCAAGTCTATAGCTAAATAATACATTTATAAAAATCACGAGAGTGCATACACAATTTTATGCACAGGGCTTGGCGTGACCAGCCGATTGATAGAATCGGGCCCATTCTACCACCCGTCTAGGTGAAGTTAGGGTCAAAGTGGTGTGTTGGGCAAAGGAACACCGGTTCCTGGCTCCAGTGCCCTCAACCACCAGACTCCCTTCCTCCACCGACACAGGGACGCAACCCACGGCAAACAGGTTGCCCATTTTAGTCGCCTCATACGACCAGCAATGGGGGGCTGTGGAAATATTCTGCCCCGGTTCCACACGGGGGAAGAGCAATTAGCGTTACCCAGCACTCACCACGAGGAGGTTGCTCTTCACGAGTGCCTGTCTGGTCCAGACTATATTATTTCCAGACCACCGTCTTATAGCTTGAATATTGCTGAGTGCGTCGTAAAACAACAAACCAACCAACATCATCTCCCGGTCACAAATCCTTAAGTGAAAACAAAATCTTCCTACATTATCCGGCCCCAACGCTATTAGCTCTTCCCCCGTGTGGAACTGGGACAGAAGGTGTCCACAGCACCCCCTTGCTGGTCGTAAAAGGCCACTAAATTGGGCAACCCGTTTGCTGTGGGTTGCGCCGCTGTGTCGGTGGAGGACAGGATTCTGGTAGTTGAAAGGCACTGGAGCCAGGAACCGGTGTTCCATTTGCCAAACACACAGCTTAGACCCTTACTTCACCTAGACGGGTGGTAGAATTGGCCCGATTCTATCAATCGGCTGGTCACGTGATGCCCTGTGCATGGCATACTTGAATGGAATAATTTCGATATATATCAACCTAATGTGCATGCACTACCTGATTAATTACATGCATCGCATAACACAAGTCTTGTTTCAGGATAAAATGATGACGTTGATTATATTTATTATAATTTTGCCTAGAGTCGATGACGGAAGGCGGTGGCTCTTGGGCCAATCTGGCTATATATCAACCTCTAGGTTCTATGTGACTTCAGATAACTATCAGAACCTGCCTGACCTGTCAAAAATAGCTACCTTTATTTATATTGCTTGAGTATAACACCTTTGTAACCCGTCATATAGCTGGAATATTGCTGAGTGCGGCGTTACACAACACACAAACCAACCAACCAACCAACATATCTTTTCACATTTTCAACGTCTACTGTTCCATCATCAATAAAAGCTGGATACTTTAACATCGTAGTGGAGGTTTATGTTCCAAATCCACTCCGGTGTTTCAAGTGTCAACACTTCGGTCATGGGGCCAAATCTTGCACAGCCAAGACAAGATGCTCCCGTTGTAGTGGTCCTCATGAGGGCACAGAATGCACAAATTAGGTCAAATGTGCTAACTGCAGTGGTGTGCACTTGAATTCATCCAAATCATGTGCAATTTTCGACCACGAATCGAAAATACTAAAAATCAAATATGCAAATAACATTTCCTACTCTGATGCCAAAAACCTCCTTGTCCACTCTCAGACCCCTTCAAATAAATCATATTCAGCAGCAGTCTCTTCTCTGTGTCCAGGTCACAAAATCATCATGACATCCATTCAATGTCAAACTGATATCTCTTGTATCCACAATGTCCAGATCATCATTGATGAAGCACTTAAATTGTCTCCAGATAAGCCATCAACAATTACGTCTTCATCTCAAACAGAACTAATGGAAAATCCTGGAAGATTTCATTTCAAACAACAGTTTATGCATATCTAAAGATTGATCAGACACATATTTACATCCAGCTACTGGAACATATTCTGCGCTTGATCTGTCACTCACAGATCCAAATGTATATAACGACTTTGAATCAACAAAGGTCTATGTGGAAACCTTTTTCCCCACAATACTTTCAGCTATTAACCCGAATAATGAACCACCTGTGACAAGGTGGAATTGTAAAAGCGCCACATTGTACTGACAAATTGATTTCTGACATTTTCATAAACGTCCCTGATCCTATTCAGTTGTTCACGGACACACTGAATAATATTGCTGATGTAACTATTCCTAAGTCCTCTGTAAAGCCACACATTCGTAAACGATGGTTTACAGATGATTGCAAACAGGCTAGAGGAGCAGGAGGAAGGCTGAAAAATACGTTCATCGTCATCCTACAGTTCACAATTTATATAATGTAAAGATAAATGGTGCCAAGGCTTGGTGTACGTTTAAACAAAATCGGCAACAGTCTTGGAAAAACTTTGTATCAAAGATTAATTTCCTGTACACCAATGACAAAGGTCTGGAACATGGTACAAAGAATCAAAGGGAAAAGTTCAAATTCTGGCGTTCATCATCTTTAAGATGATCATGGTCTACTAAAAATCAACAAGAAAAGAAAACTATTAACTTTAATTCGGATAATGGTGAAGACTACATTGAAGTATTTTCACTACATGAGCTCAATACTGCACAAGCGCAAGCCCATGATACCGCAACAGGAGCTGATAATATCCACTATCAGCTCCTTAAACATTTACCTAATCCATGTCTCGCAACGCTTCTAAATATTTTTGATAATATTTGGACAAATGGACACTCCTCCTTCCTGGCACAACGCCATTGTTATCCCTATACCAAAACCTGGCCGAGATCATACGGATCCATCTAACTATCGACCTATTTCGTTATCTAGCTGCGTTTGTGAAACAATGGAACGCATGGTCAATAACCGTCTAGTATGGTTTTTAGAAACCAATAATCTTATTACCAATATTTAATGTTGTTTCCGCAAAAGTCGCAGTACTATAGACCATCTAGATCTGGTTCGTTTAGAATCATTCATTAAAAATTCCATTCCATTCCAGCATGCTTGTATCAATCTTTTTTTACCTTGAAAAAGCTTTTGATACAACATGGAACCCATACCGAAACCTGGACGGGATCACAGTGATCCCTCAAATTATAGACCCATTTCATTGACCAGTTGCGTTTGCAAAACAATGCATCGCATGGTCAACAAAAGTGAGTGAGTGAGTGAGTGAGTGAGTTAATATTTAACGTCACATTGGCAATATTTCAGCCATATCGTGACGAGAACCTTTATAATACTGACATTAAAATAAAATAAAAAATGTCATCGACGGACAGTATAACAACTAGCATCTCACAGTTTATAAGTAAAACTAGTTTAGAACAATTAAAATAATAACCTATTATTCAACAATACATTATAAAAACGGGCTACAGATCGCCAGCAACCAAAGTAAGGCCATCTTACTGGGGACCGTGGGGCTTACAATACTTCTGCTACCTGCACGTCTTACACCATCCCTTCAGCTGCTGGCGATGGTACACAATTAAGCCATCATTAAAACGAAACAAATATACTACGTTTAAAACCTGTGGTAGGAATAAACGTACTTTCAGGATTTGGTCTTACATATCCTCAATAATTTTACACTACTTCAAACCCCTTTGAGGATACAGCCATTAACCATAAAGGTACACGTTAAACACTACTAATATTATACAAATCAACTATCAACACAATCAAAATTTATCAATAAATAAATTCTTTTAAAAATCCCACAATTAAATGACAACTGATACTATTGAAAAGATCCTTAAAATATGATGATTTGAGTGAGTGAGTGAGTTAAGTTTTAAGTCACATGGGCAATATTTCAGCCATAACGTGACTATCAAATGTTTAAGATTATAAATACTTTGAAAACGTATAAAAAAAACCTGCCAACGATGGGCAGTAAAATAACTAGACTTATCACAGAGAAATATTTAAAACTAGTATGGAGTCATAAAATTGATATTACTATACATAACAATACATTATAAAAACAGGCTATGATCTCCAACAACTGAAGGTAGAGCACCACACTGGGGACCATGGGGACTTACAGTACTTTTGCTACCTGCATGGACCCCAGCTGGATTTACATCATCCCTTCAGGTGTTGGCGATTATTGCACAAATGTAGCCAGAATAAAAGAACATATATACTACGATTAAAATTGTGGTGAAATAACATTACTTTGAATGACGTGGTCTGACAAACCCTCTCTGGGGGACAATCATTTTACACTACTTCAACCCCCATCAAGGGTAAAGCCACGAACAATCTCAGTTAACAAGTTTTCTGCTACCAATACTAAAATATATATTATTTACAGAACATATCATCAAAATTTATGTAATAATTCTATTTCTTTAAAAAAACCAATAATTAAATGACTACTTACGTGATTAAAAAGATCCTTTAGCGATGAAACTGTGAAATAGTTATCCCTTGTGATGGAAAAATCAATACAGTCAATCAGGA